CCTGAAAGTAGGCTATTTTCTCCATTACTATCTTACATACGCACGAATCGGTTTTTTTCCATTTTGTTATTTTTTTCTTCATCTTTTTTTTGTCATTTCATCGGCAAACAAATGACTGCTCATTTCTTGAGCAAACTCTGATTGAGCTCTGCATGTGTATACGTCGGCTCTATCGGCTTTTTGTTTGCCCAGCTGCTTCTTGACTTTTACTTACGTTTAGCCTTTTTCACACGGTTGCTTGTTTGAGTTTCAGCGTCTTCTTGGACTTCGCATTTGCAAGTGTTTGGCAATTTTTTTGTAATTTTGTTGTTGTTGCTCTAATTTTGTAGTTGTTGTTATTTATTTAGCATCATTATAGACGTGCTTGCTGCCTTCATACATAAATGATGACACAATTTTCTATATTTCCTGCGACATCTTCACTTCTTGGCAATCACAGCTCTCGTGCTGTCCCCTTCTCTCCCTCTATTCGCCACCTTCTCGTCCTCCGCTAAGTCCCACTGATTACTTTCTCATTTTAATCGTTTTTCTAATAATGTTGACTCATTGAGTCATTTATGTTCTCTTATCCTTCCCTCACTACTTCCGTTCATTTCTTGATTTCCTTTATTTTTTGTTGCTATGCTTTGCTTCTTAGTAGCCTACTTTTAGGCGTTCACACTCGAGTGTTTGCCTGCTTATTTGTGTTGGTACGATTTTCACAGCCGTAGGCTTTTTGTGTAGTTAGCTTGTTGATCGTTGTTGTTGTATTTTGTTGTTGTTGTTGTTGTAGAATATTACCCTTCTCATATACACGCTTACAACGTCAACATTTGATGCTTTTATCTGTTATCTAAAGTGTTGGCCCTTTTTTCAAATTTTGCACTTGCTTTCATCGCTGATTCAGCAAAGTGTGCGTGTGTTGCGTGTGTACCGTTAAAAGTATGTAAACAACAGTTTGTTAAAAAGTCTAATGATCAAATTTGCTGATTCACACATTGTGGTTCGGAGTTTCCGAATTCACTTTTCCTTAGGCTTTTACTCTCTTTATTTTAATCAAGCTTTTTCGTTGTTGTTTTCGACTTAACTGTGAATTGCACTTACTCCTACGTTATGATAAACATAATATCACTTAACAGCAAATTGGTCTGCTAATTAATTTTCTTCGAATTTTACACACAAAAGGATCTCGATGAGATTTATTGCGAGCTCGGGTTGCAGGGTTAATGGCGAAAGAGGAGCTGTGTTTAGGTAGTAAAGAGGAAAAAGTTTGAAAAAGTAGGCAAAAAGTGCTAAGTATGCGTTACGTAAGAGGAAAGTGGGGTTCGGGACAGATTTGTCTTGCAGCTAAAATATCTTGTTTGTAATTCTAAGTAAAACTTGAAGCTTATATTACAAATTTTCAAAGAATCTCGCATTTTCTTCCCATTTAAAGCAATTAGCAGGAATTCAGGAGCACATATTTTCAAAATTTATGCTTGCTGGCTTTCGCTTACACTATTCAGCTCTATTCAGCGCTTCTTTCTTATAATTATCATCTGCTTATGCGACCAGCAATTACAATAAATAATTGTTTACCATTCTTTCTATTGTTGTAACAGCTTGCACTAAAAATTTGGTCAAATACAGCACCGTTATACAAAATTTCATTCGTATACACAATTCAGCACTTCGTTTGTGGATTTCAGCTGAAGTTTTTGTTTAAATACTTTTGTATGGAAATATTATTTTGAAATCTCAGTTCTAACTTATGTCATTCAGCTACATACAGTTTGAAGAAATCAAATTCAGCCGAATTTAGAAACCGCTTTTTCTTAATTTTAATATTACGAACTTCTGAAGCATGACTAAGGTATGTTGTACGCTATTCAGCGCCTCTTTATTACCTAATATTTATTACTTTTACATCTTTAATAGTGTTTTGTGGTTGGAGGAAGTTAAAGTAATATCGTTACGCTACTCTATTTGCTATTTTAAGTGATATTCAGCAAGAACTTTTAGTTATTCAGCGCTATTCGCTTTCATGAAGATCTATTCAGCAACATTCCGTATGACATTTTTTACATCATTGATTTAAGCTATACTAACTTACATCTTTAATTTCCTTCGTACTTAATTCAGCACCATTCAGCAAAATTTTTCCAAAAACAATGAAGCTTGAAATTTTATCATTATCATTTAACGCCACTTAGCTCAAATTCAGCTCGTCTTTTTTTTATAAATTTTGAGCCTAAAGTAGATTTTAAATCGTTATTTTTTAAATATGAAAACGCCTATCATGGCACTAGTTGCCACTACCTATCTTACACACATTACAGCCGCTGCAACAGGATGTGCTTGATTATTTATTATTACAACAAATCCTAGTCACAACGCACTAAATAAACCAATAACAAACAATAGCAGCATAAGCAAAAACAAAACAATCGCCGAAAAAATAAAAACAGCATCAAACGAGAGCGATTACAAAACCAACATCAACAACATCGCCTATGACAAGCTTTGCGACATGAAAATTATTGCTCTGCGACGCGTATAAAAGTCATTCAGCGCCCAGTTGGGTCGATGCGCAATTTTCACGTGCCATTTAACACGCCGAAGCGCGTGTAAAAGAAAACATGAAAAATATGAAAAAAAACAAAGTTTGTAATAAAAAGGTTTTTTTTGGCGAGGAAAAGAATGGTTAGCTTTTTGACAATAAAGGCATAGCAGGACGGGTTCTACAAGTGAGATGAGTGCACTAAAAAATAGTACCTATTTTTTAGAAAATGCGTATATTGAAGCTCTCAATGCAAGTCAAAGCTTATCATAGTTACCACTATTGAAAAGCATTTTTTCAGCCGTTTATTATTGGTTTCTGACTTTGCTAAATTTAGAGCAACGCTAGCGACAAGATCAAAAGTTTTATTGGTGGAAGTGAAAAAAACCAAAAAGAAAAAAAATATCAATGTATAAAAAAACGGCCACACTGAATGAGTTAGTCTTCAGGTAGAAAAAAGTTCAAAGAATTTTAAATTTTCTACTCTAGTATATTTTGATTTTATATTTATTTATTTTTTCATTTAATATTTTATTATTTTATTTTTTATATTTTATTTAATTTAATGTTATTTTATTTTACTTTATATTATCTTATAATATTTTACTTTCTAATTTATTTTATTTTATTTTATTTTAATTTATTTTATTTTATTTTATTTTATTTTATTTTATTTTATTTTATTTTATTTTATTTTATTTTATTTTATTTTATTTCATGTATTTAATTTAATTTATGTATTTAATTTTATTTTATTATATTTTTAATTAAATTTTTTTCTATTTTATTTTATTTTACTTTAATTTATTATATTTAATGTTTTTTAATTTTATTTTTTTTTATTTCATTTTTTTATTTTACTATTTTTTCATTTTGGTATATTTTATCTTTTCTAATCTGCTTTCGTCATTATTGCAAGTATAAAACTCTACTCGTACTCTTCCTTCACTCTGTTACGCAGACACATTCACATCCTCTCCAGACATCTATATGTGTTATGTTTGCCAGCGGTTCGCTTACCTGTGTGTAAATATACCGTTTGGCCGCAGAGCAAAAACCGCAGTAGTCGCAACGTTTCCAATATGAGTGTGGTTTCACTAGCTGTCAGCGCGCCGTCAACTTGACAGTTCAAAGAGCACTTAATCCAGCTTAGAGCGATAAGACGATGTCTGTCTGTTTTATTTCGTTCTGCATTCCACCTACACAGCCATAAACGTTATTTCTAATACCGTATTATTATTTTTTCTCATTTCTTCAACTCAATAGAAATATATATTGATGTGTCATGTTGTATGTCAAATGCTGACATAAATACTTATGACTTCACAGGAATTCTTCATTTTTCTACGATTTCTATTCATATATACATACGTGTACATACAAATATACTCGTGATTCAATGCAATGCTAGGTCTGCACTTAGAGGCAGAGAGGAAGAGCGTGAGTCGGCAGCAGATAACAGGATATATGCAATATAAAGAAATGTTTTCAAAATTATACTGCATGTATCTTGTGTATTTTCGGAATAGTATTGAATACGATACACATACATACATACATACACAAACACAGCACCTACGCCAGTGGGTATTACAAAGCTAATCCAAAGTGAATTAATAATAAAAAATTCTCATTTGCTATTATGACAGAGAAATGTAATGGAATAAAGATTAAAAAGCATTCTATATATATGCAAGTACATATGTATTTTTTCGAAACGAATTTTGTGCTTTTTCCTTCCCAAAATTGTTTCGAATATGCATTTTGGTTTTTTGTTTTTTTTTGGAAATTGGGTAAAAATTATTGGGTAAAAGTGAAAACGAACGAGAACGTACATTTTTGAAACTGATTCAGATATTTCAAAAATGTGTTTCGGGCTTAAAACTTTCCTAAGTATAAAGTTTCACTCATGAAATTTGATATCCTGCATACAAATCATAAGTGAAATACTGACAATGAAAATCGACGAAAACGGGTCACAGCATCGCATAGCGCCCCTACAAATTTTTGTTCAAAAACGCATTTTTTGGTTCAGAATTCACAATTAAGAGATTAAAAGACAATGAATTTTTATATATTGCACACTTATCACATGCAAATTACAGACCGAATGAGGTCATTCAAAATGGAGCAATGAATCACATAGCGCTCATACAAATTATTGTTCAAAAACGATGTTTTAGCTCAGAACTCTTACATTTGAGCAGCCAAGCGCATGAAATTTAACCTGCTGCTTAAACATCGCATGTAGACTATACACATGCCAAATATATTAAATTGGTCTATAAGAACACACACCTTCCATACAACTATTTGTTCAAAAACGCGTTTTTGGCTCAAAACTCACACAGTTGAGCAACCAGAAAGCTGAAATTTAGTATTTTGCTCACATGGAACATGTAAAATATAGCAACTGGAAAATGTCCGTTCTGAAGAACTAAATAATGCTAGAGTAAATTATCTTAAATTCAAATTTACTTACGTTGTGAATTCGATCGCCGTATAATGTTCTCCAGGAATGTATTTTGCGGCGCAACAAGTCCTCGACGTCCGCCAGGCATTTTGCTTGCGTTTGTTGCTTAGCTAGCGTAACGGCAAACAGCAACAGCAGCAGTGGGGAAAAATTGCAAACAATAAAATTTAACACTCTAATTCATTGGACAAAAAATAACAGCGATAACTCATCGTTTAAAAAAATACATAAGAAAATAAAATAGAGTAAGAACAGAAATGAATTTAAGACAAAATATTATATAAGAAACAATAGACAGTGCGTCGCGTCGCGTGGGCTAAGCGTTGAGACGTTGACGACTGCGTAGACAACAATAACAACAGCAACAAGATACAAGTACAAAAACTGACACATCGAGAAGACGACTCTGAATTTGTTTTTATTTTATGTTGTTTTATTTCTCCACTGAGGCGTTAACACTAATGCCGGTAATAATGCGAATGAACGTGATAAGATTGAAGTCGGAGAAGATACAATTTTCTTTGAAGCTGCGTTGCACAGACAGCTGGCAATAAAAAATGATAAATTACATGCGCTTTTACTAAATTTGTTTTTATTTTACAAACAGCAGTCGTTTGGCGCTCCTAAATGTATGCTATCTCCAATCTTGAGTTTTTTAAACATGAATTTTTCCCTGCCTTTTATGACGCTGATGGATGTCAGTTAGAACATCAGCGTTAAGTTGATATAAACAAATGAGTTGTAAGCATTGTTTTTCCTTTTTTGAAAAGAAATGTAAAGAAGATATTCAATTTTTTTGCTTTCTCGACACTGCCCGCTCATGGTTTTCACGATTTTTTTCTCTTATCGCAGATTTTGTTATGCTTAGCTGAAGCAGCATTTGATGCTTAACGTAAATTTTTATGCATTTATGCGTTTGTTAATGGTGTTTACATTATAACGGATTCAGTTTTTATTATATAATGTTTTTTCTAACTTGATTTATTCGTTTTTATCCCAATTTTTTATTTTCAAGTATATATAGTTCGAACGATATTATTTTTTTTTCTTATTTTATTTGACAGTACTTAAAGTTTTTAATTCCAACTTTTCAAATTTTATTTCAAATAATTTATTGCCTTTCAAATTTTTATTTTCTATTATACAATTTTCTAAAAATTTTTTATTTTATTTATTTTAATTTAATGTTATTTTATTTAATTTTATTTTATTTTATTTTATTTTATTTTATTTTATTTTATTTTATTTTATTTTATTTTATTTTATTTTATTTTTTTTATTTTTTTTTTATTTTACTTAATTTTATGTAATTTTATTTAATTTTATTTCACTTCCTTTTGTATTCCTTTTATTTCGCTTTTTACCAGTTATTGTTAAAATATTATGTCACTCATTTATTTTATATTTATATTGTTTTTTAAGTTGTTGATATTTGTTGTCTATTTTTATTTTTTTTGTCACTTAAAAAATAAAAAAAAATTTAAACAACACTACAATTCTTTTTACATTTAGTGTACTCTTTCGCTGCCTACATTTGGGCGCCACATTGAAAATTCATTACCTTCAGTTCACAACGCGCTGTATTCTCCACGTTTTATTTTTCACATTTTATTATTTACGCGTTTTCACTTTTTTGTCACACACATATACAAACAAACAATTAAATTTATGCACTCACACAATGGCAGAGAGGCAGAGAAATATGCTTTTTCTCCGTTTATATAGTAGTTGAGTTGGTGAAGAAGCATAATTTAACCCTTTTTTTTGTATTCAAACCTGTACTACCATTTCAATTAACCGTTACTTTCGCTATATATATCATACTTTCGGTCGTCCTTGCTGTTTTTACACATGATATCTGCAATGAAATTAAGAGAGAGAGAGAGAATGAGTGGAGATAAAGTGTGGCAAGTAATGAAAAATTACATTAAAAATAACTGTAAGATCAATAAAAGTTGTTTACGATGGAAATTAATTATTGCCCAGCATGTGTGAGCCAACATGTTGCAAGCACGTACACATACACACATATGTATATGTGGAAGCAACTGTATTAACGACGAGATTTTTCACACATAAAAAATCGTTACGCTCTCACCTTTTCTCCTTCTTCATTTCACTTATTCACCTTTCATTTATCATTATTGACAGAAAACAACAACATTGGCAATACAACAAATTACATTTTGATTGTTACAACGATTGTTATCGAACCGTTACAGGCCTATTTACACTTGCAGCAACACCTATGTTTCGTTGAAAAAAATAAAATAAAATGAACAAAAATTAAAGAAGTACAAAAAATGAAAAAGTGTAAAAAATTATGAAATTTTAATGTCGCAAATCACATCAATCAATGCAATTACATATATATATTGACTGACCGGACAAGCCAAGCCAACCTACAGCTGACCGACGCTGCGCTGGAATAGCTATGGCTAAACTTGACTCTCATTATTTCATTTAAATTTCTTATTTTTATATTTTTAAGTTTTTTTTTTTACTTTTTGAGCTTTTATTTAATTCATTTATTTTTTTGCCTGCCAGCTTTGGCTCATTCTGCGGCCAATTTACAATTTAATTGGAAATTATTTCATGCTTGACAAACAATTTGGGTGATGTGTGTGCATGCACAGAAAGAGAAAGCGAGTGAGTGGGCCTGAAAGTGTTTGCCAGCACGTGTTGTTGACTCAAGCGCCACGTGTGACTGAAATATTTTTCGAGATTGAGAGAGAAGGCGAGGGGTTTGCAAAGCTGAACGCTTAATATTTCTTTTCTCGGCTAAGTTAAATATTTTGTTACTTTACAAAAGTTTTTAGACTAAACTTTTTGTTTTTTTTTTTTAGAAAAAGTTTCCAAAAAACCTTGACAGTATCTTTAGCAGATTTGTCGTATTTTTAACAATTTTAATCTTCAAAATTTCCTTCTTATTTATTGTAAAATAAAATAAAAAAATAATATGAGGTAAAATTAAACATAATAAATTTAAATAAATTCAAATCAAAATAAATATAAGCATTTTATAATAAAATAAAATGGAATGAAATTAAATAAAATAAAATAAAATAGAATTAAATAAAATAAAATAAAAATTAAGTAAAATAACATCAAATCAAATAAAATAAAATAAAGACAAATTAAAATAAAATAAAATAATATAAAATAAAATAATATAAAATAAAATAAAATAAAATAAAATAAAATAAAATAAAATAAAATAAAATAAATTAAAAAAAAAATAAAATAAATTAAAATAAAATAAAGCAAAATAAAATAAAATAAAATAAAATAATATTAAAATTAAAACACTGAAATAAAAAAGAGACAAAAAATAAAATAAAATAAATTAAATTAAATTAAAGATAAATAAAATTTTAATAATGGAAATAAAATAAATATTAGATAAATTTAGATATTTTTTAGATATTATCGTAAATTATAAAAAGAAATATTTTAATTTAAATTAAATTATAATAAATTTAATTGAATAAAATAAAGCATATAATTATCGATAAATAAAACAAGCTATAATTATCTCGTTATAGTTACTCTCCCTCTGCTCTCTTTCTGTATTTCTTAATGATTTGTGAAAAAACTTTGATTTCCATGAAAACTGTCAGCAGCGAACTTTGATTGATTGGCTAATGAATATTTGATTAGTTGCTGATATATTCCAAGAAATGGAAAGAAGCAAGCTTTAGTTGAATGGGAAAGGAAGAAATGGAAGCAAAATCAGACAAATTATGTGAAACGCTTGATAATTAGGCACACCTTTTGGAACAAAGGACGTCTGATGAATCTTGATAGTTTCGCGTATGAGAATAGTATAAAAGTGGAGTGAATGGAGAGCAAAGTGATTGGAGAGTGCGTATTTTTAAAATCAATATCGCTGAGCTTAGTTTTTTTTGAGCTTTCAACTCATTCACTTTTCAGTCAAGCTCCGCCTTAGGAAGCATTCGAAGCATAAAGTGGAACTTTTTGAAATGATTTCAAAAATTTTTTGCCTGAGTGAATTTCCAAACCACTAATGGGGAAATTATTTACTCATTTCAACTCAATTTAAATATAAATTGTATTTTAATTAACGGAAATATCTGCTTCTTCACACAACTGTACACACACAGCTTACTTCATGCTGGCGCTCCGTAGTGCCGGATGTAGTTTCAAGTGTGTAAATAAGAGAGAACGAAAAATATGCACCACTTCCAAAGGCATTTAGCGCCGGTTGGCGAAGCGAAAAAAAAAAAAATAGAAAATGCGCTAAAAAAACGGATGTTGCTTGAATAGTAATTATGTCCGTGGAGACAACGAAGGCACAACGCAGAGCCGACACGCATTCACTAAAAGCATACAAAAGCATTTAAGTGAAAAAGAAAAAAACATTCAAAAAAAATTCTCTTAGTCTTTATTGCAATTTCATTTTCCCACCACTTCCGCCGAATTTTTTACTATCCACAGAGATACCACTCACTGACGCTTTCACATAATGAAAGCACAAAAAGCGCAGTGAAAACAAAAAAGTGGAAAAAACAGCACAAAGCTTCCACATTGACCACAGCACACACACACATACATACACGTATGTACACATAATGCTCGCGCACTCATCTCAAAGGCGAGTACATAAAATTACAAAATAATTACAACAGCAAAATCTTAATTATGCCCAAAGCCGAGCACAAAAGCAACAAAAGCATTGCGGAAAAAATGAAACCACTACTCCTGCTCTGTCCTGCCGCCTTCGCGAATTCATGTTTGCACACACTTTTCGGTTACGGGCAATCAACGCTTGTATTGGTGTTGAGGTGTTGGTAGAGTGATGTTATAGTGAAAATCGTATATAGGCACGAACAAGGCTTATAAAATCGTGAAAACAGTCAAAAGCTTCCTCGGGTAAGCATCCTTTCTCCACTAATATTTAGTTTTTACTACTAGAAACCATGCTGAACTACCAGATGAAGCTTACTAGATACCATATGAGGATAATTTCTGGACTCCGTTGGACGCAGAAGACTAACGGGATGCTGAGGACCCCGGTACAGTCCTGCCAAAAAACACTGTCTTGAGAACCGCAACGCCAAGCCTTAAGTTATGGCCCCTGCGCCGTGCTAAGCTAAGACAAAATGCACTCCACGCCAAGCTAAGTTGCTGGTCTTTAGGGTGACTTAACTTAGAGCTCAGAGACAGTGAGCACAGCTGAGATAGCAATGAGCCTTTCCACATAGTAAGGGAATCGGAAAGTGAGCTCCTTAGATGACTAACAGTATCTACGTGTGACCACCTAGGTGAAGTCCAACAGATGGTAGAAAAATCCCATAGCCAGGGGTATTCTGCCTAAAGCACAAAACGAATCTTTGCTTCTTTATTACTCTGAAAACACTTGGAGAGCATGGCTTGTCATTTTTCTGGCCTACAACTGGGGAGCCCTTGCCACACACTAACGCGGGCTTAAGACTGCAGAACGCACAACAGACATTGTCTGTTTATATGAAAGGAGGATGCTTAAAATACTATTTTCCGTTTTATTTTCATCTACAGCATACCACCCAGGACGGGGTAGAACTGTACGAGGGATCTAATGAAACTAAAAAAAACAAACAAATAACCGAGATGAGGAGAGGGTTCTCGATTTAATCACAATTTTTATCAATGTAGATCCAAAACCAATCAATTGTTCAACTGGATCACTCTTTCAAAGAACTATATGAGCCCAAAGTGACTCGAATATATCGAGGGAGATGAGAGAATATAACCTCTTCGTATGTGGCCCCTTTAGCTGATCCATAGCTTGAGACTTCATTAAGGGCAGCGCCGATTTCAATTGTTAAAAAGCCTCTTCAGATCCAAAATTTCCATCACACGTGCAAGATAACTAAAAGAAGGAAGATTTAATCAAAAAGTTCTACCTGGCAGATCAGCAGCTTATCATCTGGATAGCTGGGTAGCTTTTATTAAAAGGGCTTTGAATTCGGGGTTACTCGAAT